GCAATTAACTGTTATCAATTTTTGCTCACCTTTTTTGTTTATACGTATGTTTATGAGCATTATATTTAATTTTGAGCATAATTTTTCACCATTTATAAAGTTTCTGTCAATAATAACGGTACCAAAATAGAACAACTGTAAATAACTGATTTTTGATTCACGGAAACAAAGCTGTAAAAATTGCTTAACTGATGAACAGCTACAATTTTTCTTCCTTTTTTTTTTTTGTTTTTAGCTTCTAGGTGCTGCTCATTGATAAAGTGCAATGTTATTATTTTGAAGTCGAAAAAATATCAGGCAAATATCCGTCTTTCAATGTCTTGCTCAACTAACTATTTTATACTCACCTTTGAATGTTGCCCTTTTTTTTTCATCTCTGAATTAAAACTTTCTGCAGAAGACATATTTATGAGCTATCGTTATGTCCATAAACTTTTTTGTCACTGTAGATAATTCTTTTGATATATAACTTTCAATTATGTTGCACAGCAAAATGTCTTTTAACAGTAATAAAATTAACCTGCCTTCAACTCTAAATTTATTGACTGTACTTTAAATATTTCTAACTACAAAAATTTGTTCAAAAAATTTAAGATAAATCATTTTTGTGCGGAAATTAAACGACGGAGTAAAAACTGTGGAAAACTAAGGGATTAATAAAATTTGAAGATTCTTTATGTTGTAAACTCGAAAGTGTTGGAAAGGCAGCTGGAGCAATACATATGAACTGGTATTGGTAAAAAAGGTGAATTCCAAAAAATCATCTGCTTTGAATTTTTAAAGCAAGTTACAAAAGTCATTTTAAAGCCTCCAGAATGCTCAGCGTTTGCTGTCATTACTGAAAGTACTTGTAAAGCAGCAAACAGACTGTATTACATTTTCATGGTATAAAAAAGGAAAAAAAGATTAGAAATTGGGTACATTAACAACTTTTACCATAATAATAAAATCGGCATCTCTCAGTTACACCTCTTTTTGTGTTCCGCTTGAGCAAAAAAATCTTTTTTTTTTTTTTAGCGTCAGATCTTTCTGGATATTTCAGGAACAGTTAGACTGTAGTTTACCAGAATAACATATCAATGTATTAGTGCTTTTTTATAAGACCAGCGCTGAATAAGGGTTAAATGAGTTCATCAGTGAAACAAAATTCATTTCTATTTTTTTTTTTTTGTGATGTTTGTGGTGTTTTTAAGGTTAGTTTTGGTGTTAGGGTTGTATTTAGGTGAGTAAAACATTTTTGAAGGAAAAAAATAATCTTTTGTTTTTCACATTGCAACTGTGAATGAGATGATTGATAAGGGACATTAATTTTTATGACGGGTGTAAACTTCAAACTTCTATCATTTTACCGGAGAATTGCACTGTTCTGCAGCCCAGGAAACTTCCTGAACGTAAGAAGAAGCTTAAAGCACAAGATGAAACTGCACAACAAATCTGCGCATATTCTTCGCTAAAAAATGTTTACTTTCTGTAAAGGCAAAAATCACTTACTGTTCAGGATATCATCAAAAAATTAATAGCTGTAATGAGAATTACATTTTAAAGCAAAATTTTAAATTCTGCATAACAGTAATTCTTCTAAAAAGGATTAGGCTAAAAAGATAAGCAACAAATAAACTGTATAAGTCAGCCTAATCTTTATTTGTAAGATATAACTAAGGTACAATTACAGATATGAAATTTAACTAAACAGTGGCACTCATTTAGTAATTGTGACAGCAGTTTACTGAGTAATTTTCATCCAATTATTTATTCAGATATTTTTAATTCTAACTGCAAAAAACTTTTAATTTTAGATGTTATTATAGTTTGCAACCTAATAATTATTGATAACAAAATTAGTATAAGAAGTAATAGTAAAAACAAGATAAAATGTGAAATTAAATATCTGGATTACTTTGTAATATATCTTGTTATACGATAAGAATAAGTTTCGTTGTTTTCATATGATATTAATGATTAATTTTGAAACAAGAAATGTTTTTTTGCTTTTTTAAGCAATCCTCTTCTTTTCAGCTGAGGCAGATGAAATGACTTGAAAATTTTCTCGTTTTTTTTTTCTTTTTTTTTTTATTTTATTTTAACTTGTCGACTGCTAATCTATCACTAAAACAATGAAAAATAAACTTTTTGTTTCAAAGGCTTAGAAGTGAGAGAAAGACTCTACTGCCTAAAATAGAATTTATTTTTCTTATGCTTTGCTCATCTAGTACCCAGTTTTCTTAGTTCTGCTAGAAGTTTCTTTTTGATCTTTGAAACTGTTGCTGTACACTACAGGCTTTTGAATATTCTGCAAAAAAATGAGAATTTTCTTCAAAGAAAGTGATGTAAACCCACTTTGTAAGGTTAACCCTCTCGAAAGTGAACAGCGTGTTAATAAAGTGATTTAAATTTCTACCATACTTAAAGCAGAACTCTTGCGAGCCAAGTGGCATATCAAGTCTTAAGCTACTTCTATATCAAATTTTTATTTCTAGCAATTATATATCTTTTTAGATTGTGAAAACTGTTGTAATCAGGGTTAATTTCATAACACTGCCTTTTAAAAGATACCTTTAGTGGCATCCCAAAATTTGTGCCAACAGCCAATTTTCTTGTTTGTAATTAATTAGTTTAAAGTGTAATTCATTCAGTTTGAAAAAAAAATTTTTTTTTACAGCAACTAAATGTGGTGTCTGTGGAGAATGAACTGTAAAGGCATTACTATAGCTTTGCGGTAAATTTTTAAGCAAAGAGTTTGCAACGTTATCCGTGTGTATAGCAAATTTACAGAGATATCTTAGACAATTGTAACATATCCAATCTGCAAATTGATGCAAAACGGTTTGGCGCAGTATCGTTGAAACAATTTTTGTTTAAGCAGTATTCTGTAACACTTATTTATAACTCTTTTCAGATTTAAATCAGCCATTGTTGACCTGTAAAGGTTTACTGACCACGTGAAGAGTATGGCAGTCTTACCGACTGGGTTAATTTTAAGCGTTAAATTGTCTAGTATTATTGAAAAACAGTCTAACAAACTATATTAGTACCGATAGACACAAAAATACAATACAGATTGGTATTCTAAAAATTTTTACACCTCTAATTGGTGTTGAAGAATACAAAGAAGCCCCAATCATGAATTTATGTACAAAAATAAAAAATAAAAAAATTTTGCTACTGATTGAAATTTTGCTACTATAAAAATGAAAAAATTCTGTAAAATGATAGTGTAAAAAATGTCAATAAAAATTCGAATACAGTAAAAAAAAAAAAA